TTATGGTCCTATATTCGATGTTCTAGAAATGCAAATTTCACACGCCAACACTTGAGGGCCAAGACCATGTGATATAGTTTTAAACCTTTCTAATTTAATTCTTCACAAGACACCCAAGAAAATGGAATCTGAGTCAAATGACATAGAAAAGCTTTAGAAAGAGTCACAGAGAAAAGCTGAGTGTTTGAGCTAATAAGAAAATGAAACAAAATAATGTTCCATCCGGTCTCGGCAAGTAGATACAAAAACTGAGAAGCTATGCTCCTAACAATGGAGGTTGCTATAGCAAGAGAAATTTATCAAGAGAAGCACATCAAAGGAGAATTTTCTAGACAAATTATGCTAGTTAGAAGTCAACTATGGTTTAGACAAAAGCAAGTCTCCCAAGCTGACAAAGGTTTACATAACTCGTCATCTAAAAGCAATAGCATTGGTTAACTTATGTTGAAGCAAGCCCACTAATCACTGTTTTGATTGAGATTGCAGTTGACTTGGTTATTACCTTCAATTTATTCCCTCCGTTTTCTGTTTGTTTATTTTACTTTCATGTTTAGTCTCATTTAAAAAAGAACGCATATTTTCCTCTTTCTTTCTGTAACACTTAAATTCTAATTTTTCATGCAACATGTTTAAGATTAAAGAACATTTTGGAATATTCTACGTATCTTCAGTTTAAGACTACAAGTATAGAAAGTTTTCTATACTTCTTTAAACTCCATATCAACTCAAAACTAGACAAAATGAAACAGAGGAAGCAACATAGTTACATGACAGCAATCACACAATTATGCCAAGAAATGTACGACATTATGCTGCGTGTAGATAGCTTGGTAATCCCCATGTTTCCAAGTGATCAAGTGAATTGCAAGTTAATGAGCGCACACAAAAGTATAAACTTTAATCAGCCCCTGATATTTTATTGGAGTCTGCCTAAAATAGAAAAGTGGGATTACAATTTTTCGCAAATTGATAATTTCTTAAAATGGTATCCTTCCGCTGACGAGACAGCTGCAGATATACAAACCAACTATAGCAGAAACACTGTGCAAGTAACTTCTCATACATAAGAGAAAAAAGTAATTCACAATAGGAATTAGTTGATTCCCCAACCCCCAAATCAAATTAAAGAAAGTTGATTTATTTATTCTTATCAAGGATGAATATAATCACTGATTTACCGTAAGCCTCATTAGGATCAAATGCTTTGATATCCTCTACATACAAATGGACCGGAAAATAGCCACAAGCATGCTTACAGATGTACCTGAAGAACCCCAATTTTCAGCATCAATAATACAGCAGAAAATCAATAGTTTCCACTTAATCAGATAAATACTAAATTGCACCAACAAAAAATCACTTACCTAGCTAATCTTCGCCCAAAATTATTTTTCTCATCAATCGGAATGAGAATAAGTATAAGCAATATTCCTATAACTCTGAAACAAAATTTTATCAAGACTAAAGTCAAACTCAAACTCAAATCCAAACTACTAGGCAGATGGAAATAAGAGGTAGAGAGAAAGTAAAGAGAAAACTAACATGACTGTTTTAGAGAAAGGAAGAAAAATAAAGGAAGCAATAAGTATTAAGAAGTTGAAATGGACGGAGCCAAGCCATAAGACCAACGCCAATACAGTATGCAATAATGACCCGGAATTTGCCCCTTTAAACTCCACCGGCGTCGGAGCTGACGGCGGCGCCGGCTGTTGATGAATTATTGAATTATCCTCTTGTATAGCCATGGGTGAAAATCCAAATCGAAACGAATAAAACAGAAAAAAATAAATATGAAATTACTGAATTGATTATAAATTTATAGAAAGAAAGTAGGGAATTATGCAGTAGCTAATTTCTCTTTTTTTTTTAGATTATAATAAAGAGGAGTGTTGGTTGTTGAATTGATTTTTTCATTTCGTGTTTAATAGCTATATTTAGAGTTTGATTAAATTTTGAATTAGCGTTGAAAAGTTCAGAAGTATTAAGTACTTACTAACAAAAAGCACTCTGTATCTAAGGGGCTCAAATCTCAATGCTTTTAATTAAATATAAAGGAATGTTTACCATTTAATCGCAATCCTTATTGGTGTAAGTAGAGCCGTCAATATAGGCTAGGTCTTTCGAACTGACCTAGCCTAACTCGAGATTTAATAGGTGGACTATGATTTTTGGAACCCATTTGAGAAAAGAACTTTTTAGCCCAGCCTAAATAAGCGTGCTGATTTGTAGCGCTTGAGAAATATCGATAGGACCGGCTCGTGGGCCAATAAAAATTAAATAAAAATATAATATAATATTAAAATTTAAAATTAAAGAGAGTTAAATCAATATTTCTATTTAGATATTTATATTTTTACTTGAAAGAAAAATTAATAAATATTATAAAAATAAATTTAATTGTCAGCATAAAAAGTAGTAACGTTAACATTATGTAATATTATTTTGTCTATATTTATGATAATATTTTTAAAATTATAATTTATAATTTAATTTAATAATTCTAAAAATAATATAATTTTTTAAAAAAATTAACTGGCCCAACAAGTCTGTAGCCCACGTACTTGTGTATTAGACTGACTATTTTCTGACCCACGCAAAAAATAAGCTAGCCAAGCCTAATTCATAAAATATCAAACTTACATAAATTTACCCGAAGTAATAGAGTGAGCTAGCTCACATCGACAACCTTTAGGTGTAAGTTGTGATTTTGAAGTCAGCACGTGGAATTTACCAAAAAAAACATGTGGCTTTTACAGAGAATATAGCAGGCTAATAAAATATGGGTCCTTTCTAGTTTCTTCATACTACTAGTGGGCACGTTTATAGCCGATTTGACAATTTCGATCAACAAGTTAAATAAAATATTTATTTGATAAAAAAAGATATTATTTATTTTAATTTATTTTATTTGGTTCATATGACCTTTATATTTGTTATTTTTGATAAAGATAATATTTTTTTCATTTTATTTTATGTAATAATATTTGATTACGCATAAAGTTTAATAAGTAATGAAGACTTTGAAATATTTATCAAATTGTCCTTTAAAAAAGTAAATTTATTTTTCTCTCATCATAAATGTATTAGAGTAGTATATTTGAAATTAAATATGATCAACAAGGATAAAAAATGAATTGTATCTTTTAATACTTACCATATAAGGAAATGTGATATTCTTTTTAAAATTGAACAAAAAAAATTGGTGCCAATAAAATGGGACAAAGGGAGTATCTTTTATTTGTTACATTTTTTATTTATTCGAAGGTTTAATGGTTTTCAAAAAGCTAGAATCTTTTTAATGAATAAATTATTTTTAAAATCTATCAATTAATATAAATAGAATGGTAAATTTATTATGTCAATTATTATTTCCTTAATAATTTTAAATTGAAAATGGACAAATAGCAACGGAGGGAACAATAAAATTTACATAAATTCATTTTGCTAAAAGTTAATTACATTATTTTTCTATTTTTTAAAAAATTATAAAAATCTCTTTAAATTGATGAATTTCAAATGCATTTCAGGACTTTCAAATACATCAACAAGCACCCTACATAGGGGAAGAGGCGGAGCCCGAATTTTCGATAAGAGGGTTCAAAATATGAAAAAATAGCCGCATGTAGTAGCTGAAGAAGGTTCAACATCTACTATATATGGCTAAAAGTTTATTTTAATTATATAAAAATAATATAATTTTTCATCGGAAGGAAACCCCTAAAGTTATGATGGCTCCGCCACTACAGAAGGGAGAATATTATAAAGAGAGGATAGAGATGTATAGGACATTCTGATATATATGGGAGAGATGTATGTTATGAATGTATCAACAAGAAAGAAGTGATGTGTCTGATAGAGAATTTTTTTTAGTGATAGAAAACTTAGAAATTGTGATAAAGTATAATGTGTATTTAGGTAACTTCCAAAAAAGGTATTGCTCCATTTATTTACATTTATTTTTATTCGTTACTTTTCTAAAAATGATTTTTAATTTTACTTGTTATTTTTTATATATGAAGAAAAGATAAAAAAATTTCTCCATATTTTACCCATAGTTAAATATCATTCTCAATATCAAGCTAAAACTTTCTAACTTTTACCCCCTAAAAAATAGAATTAGAAATTTATTTTTCCAAGATTAAAATATTGGTGCCATATAAATATATAAAATAATTTATATTTATAAAAGATAAAAGGGAAATAACCTTGATATTGAAAATGTGTTGATACTTGTCTTTTTCGTAATTTAACTCTAAAAAATACATTTAAAAATTTAATTAAACGCAATCTATTTATTGAAGCAAATTAGCCAAAAACGAATAAGCCTAAGTCAAATTATTTATTTCAAATTGAACTTTCTAGCAAAAATTAATATTATAATAATAATTAATCATAATAAAAATAATTATAATCTAAAATTACTAAATCATATTAAAGTAAATACAATTAATAAATAGTAATTATATGACTAAATATTTAAAATAAAATTATGTACTGCCACCATTTAAACAAGAGATAAATGCAAGATTAAAGAGTGATTATTTAACATAATATTCTTATTTCTTTTGACATTAATATTAATTTAATTTTAATTTTAAAACTTTTATTTAAATTACACTAGTATTATTGAGCAATAAATTTGATCGAATTTATTTTGCCTGCATATATAGCCTCTACTCTCTAGCCGCAAGCTAAATATTTAAAAAAAATATTTATAAAGAATTAAGAGAAGTAGATCTATGTTACCTACTCTCATTAAACTATATTTTTTTAAATACAATATTGCTAACCTAGACTGGATTATAATTGATTAGATTAAATATTAGAAGTTCTTCAATGAACTCTAATATATTTTCGATGCATTTTTTTATACGACTAAAATTAAATCAATTCACAACACTTTCATACACTCATAATGATTTGTTGTAATGTATATTTTTATAAATCAAATATACAAGTATGCCTATGCGAAAGTGTAAATCGAACTCGAACTCGCAATCTTCGAATTATTATGTATATAGTATATATATACTCGAACTCACAATCTTTGAATTGAAAGTGAAGAGTGTTTACCATCTGAGCAACTCCCTCTCATTTCAAGTACATAATAAGTTGCTTTATTTTTGCAGAATTCTTAATTATTAATTAAGAGATGCAATTGTTTTGTTTTTCATGTATTTTTGTTGAAAAAAATATATATAGTAGCATATCCCTTTTTAATGTGAAATAGTTTAAGTCAAATCATTATCCAATATTCACATTATCTTGCTCCTGCCTGCATTGATATCTCTCTTTATTATACTTTGACAATCACCAAAAGATCTCAGCAACCTACATTATTGCACAAGATCAAGTCAGCCACTCACTTTTAAATACGATATCTTATATTTTTAGCTCAAATAATATATATATATATATATATAGTACGAAAATTAAATATTTGTAAGTTATAATATCTAGAAAGCATTTTGGAGCCTTAATGGTGAGAAATGTTAACAAAAAATTTCAAAACGGTATATGAATTTCTTTTTTAACTAAAATGGCCAAATCGCTCACTAAGTAGCGATTTTGTCCATCGAAAAAAATAAAATCACTGCTATAACAACGATTTGTTAAATTTATTTAAAAAAAAAAAATTAAAACAAAATCACTTTTGAAGGAGCGATTTTCAAAATATATATATTTTTTATTATATTTTTGTTATGTCGCTGCTGAGACATCGACTTGAGTTCAAGATTTTTTTTTAATTTTTTTTTTGCTTTTTTTTCAAGTTTAAATAATTTTTTTAAAAAAAAAACAATCAAATTGCAGCGGTTTTTAATTAAATTTATTTTTAAAATCAAATCGCTTTCAAGACAGCGATTTTAAATCAAAATCTTTTTTAGCGATTTGATTTTAAAAAAAAAAGAAAAAAAAATATTTATAAATTGTTGCGATTTGATTTTTTTTTTAAAAAATTATTTAAACTTTTTTTTAAAAAAAAGAAGCAAAAAATAATAATAATAATAAAATTAAACTTAAGTCGCTGCCTTAGCAGCGACATATTAAAAAAAGAAAATTTTAGTTTGGAAATCGCTCCTTTGTTTAATTATTTTTTTCTTAAAAAAAAATAAAATTTAACAAATCGCTGGTATTGCAGCGATTTTACTTTTTCAAACGGACAAAATCGCTACTTTATGAGCGGTTTTAGCGTTTTGGTTAAGAAGAAATTTTATATATCATTTAAAATTTTTGTCAATATTTTTCACCCTTTAGACTCCGGATTCCTAATTATGGTCCCCCAGCCGATAGGTATGATGGATGAGAAAATCATAAGCAATTAATCGACTTGAAGCTTAAACAAGTACAAATTTAAAGTACTAGAAATATGATTAAATTTACGTACATAATTTTCAAATTTTAATTACATCCCAATCGAAGCCAGCTGCCAATGTGCCATTTTTTCTTCGTCATTTTAGCATTACCAACAACTTTATCTGTTTTCTCACTACATAAACATGCTTTTGATGCTTCTTCCTGTAAAATTACAAACAAATTTATTATAATTAATAAAAGCCAATAATCATATGTTCTGACAAATTAAAGAACTGATCATCATGTATTAATTGATATATATATAGACACAAGCCTATATATTGTATGAAAAAATATAAAATTAATTAAGCAGGTAAAGTTAAAATGTAGTATGGTTTATATTATTTGTCACATTTCTTAAGGATGACATTTTCTTAATCATAATTAGGATACTTATTAATTAGAGTTAAACATGAATAGTACATATGGAATATAGTATATCTCTTTTAAATGTTTCACTTGAGTAACACTCAAACTACTTATAATTAAGCATCAAGGATGATGATATATTTTGAAGAAAAAAAAGTGATAAATCTTCTTATTTTTATTTAAAAAGGTATAAATATATTATGTTTTATCAGTTGGTTGACTATCTAAACATTATTTACCTGTTTGAGACTGGCCTTTTCGTCTTCATTGTCATGATTTCTTGACTTGGATGATGAACTCGACCTTGATGTGTTCCCTTCTTCTATTTCTAAGCTTAGCTGCAATTAAACAACACAAATCAAAATTTTATGTATTATGTCTTAGTTTGGTCGAACATAGAATTTTAAATAATAATTGTTAGGATCGAAAATAAGTAAGTGTGCAAACCTCGAAAGACTACGAGTAAGAAGACAACGAGAAATATATCAAAAGACACAAAAATTTAACGTGATGAGCAATCCACTATAAATATGAGAGTACAAATACAGAGGAAAACAATTCAACCAAAGCACTCGGAATACATGAGATGTTCACACAAGTGATAACAAAGGAACATTCCTCTATTTATAAAGCCCTAAATCTTTTCTAAAAGGAAAACATATTTATGTTAATAAATTTAGGGCAAATAAAATCCAACAATAATGACTTTTCAATTGATTTTCTGATTAATTTAAATTAGAAATATGTGTGATAATATATTAAAATAGTCTTTAATCTTATGATCTTTAAACCTTTAAAACTCGATTCTCGAGTGCAGTGAGTCGATCAACAAGAGTGCCTTTGTGATGAACTTCTTCAAGTGCAGTAGATAGACTCAGAGTACTCCTGCAGTACTCTGAGTTTTCTTCTTCTTTTCCTTTCTCATTTTTTGGTGACATCCCATGTTTCTCTTCTAGAACCTGCAGCTGCATTATACGTCACGAAAAGTCGTGAACAATTATTTTTTTTAGTATAATGAACAAATAAAAGTGAACAGAGGAAAATAGTTATTACCAGGAGATCGAGGCGATCTAATCTTGGAAGAACAGGTAAGGAGGAAGCTAAGTCTTTAGTATCTAGCTGCTTCATTTTTATTTTCTTGATACTAATTTACTAGAAAAAAATGTAGCTAAGTTTTTAAAGATGGTGAAGAGGGAAGAAGAAGATGGTGGTTATTTATTTAAGTAAATAGAAGTGACATAATATGAAAATGAGGGGAGGGGAGTTGGGTTTATTAATTATTGGCAACTCCTATGCCATACCCTTTTGTCACCATGCTAGATTGGCTTCATCATTGCTCTTTGACTTGTACTCTTTTTTTAATTATTTTTTTTCAATATAGAGAAAAATAAATTGAAATCGTTTTGATTTCATACAATCTAATTTGATTCTAAAAGCTAGCTTATGAAGAAAAATTTGTTCAATTTCTAAATAGGCTCTACGGATATCGAACAAGTATTCTCTTCGTTTAAAAAGGAAAGAATTCATTTTCTTTTTAGTCTGTTTCAAAATGAATGAGTTTTTTTAATCTTTTGATAATATTTTAATTTCAGCTTGTCACATGACATATTTAAAGTCATAAGATTGAAGAGCAGTTTATTTGTCAAATCAAATCAGATCACTCTTTTTGAAACGGAGGAAGTATGTCTTTTCGAGAATTAAGCATTATTAAGAATGAATCATTCCTTAATACAAAAGTCTAGTTAGAAAGAATTGCTATTTTTTTGTTTTAAATTTGTAGAACCATACTTATTTTGCTTTCTTTTTTGGTTGTTGCTAAAACGATATTTATTTCAAGATGGATTGATTTTTTTATTGTTTTGGTTTAGAATCTTATGTCATAGTGATTATCTATACATATAATAATAATAATAATAATAATAATAATAATATAGTATAGAGTATAATCTATGTCAATGGCGTAGAAACAAATACTAGTAGTTAAATCTCAACGACGTGGTCGTTTCTATCCCTATTATGTTGCGTATACGTGCATCTTAGTGAGGAAGATATTGCTTTCATTGTTTGGCATTATATTGTTATGAGTTATGATCAATTTTAACGTGTTATTCATAATTAAATTACTATTTTGATGATAGGTGTTCGATTTAATAAAAATATTATTTAGAAGAAGTTTGAAAAAAATATCAAAATGAATAGCGATGTCGAAAATATCTTTAGAATGAGTATTTCTACATGGACAAATTTTGATGGCTAAGGTGTATGTCTTTCGATTATTTATTTATTTTCTGTTAATTACACCCTTCACAGATAGTATTTAACAAGAATTTATATATTATAATTATAATTTTAAGATTAAAAATGAAGAATATATCATCGGAATATTCAGATTCCGAAGAATCAAATTCCTAAGGTCTAATTGGTAATTTGGGATATTTCACGTGTTTCAATCATTTATTACATTAGAACGCCAAATCTTGCAACTTTTACTTCCAAGATATTAAAAATCTTTTTTTTTTAAATTTTATATTTAACAATTTTTTAAAATAAGATTCTTAACTGGCTAAAAATTAAAATGGTTGTGCATCACACAAATCCATCGATTCCCAAGGACAAGGAGCCTAGCACACGGCAATTTATGATGTCATGGATAACAAAATCAAACCTAATTCGTTTAAGTTAGGAGGGTTTATCGATTCGCCTATTTATATGTTTAATTTATTTTATTTCATTAAAAGTTTAAATATTTATATAGTCTAAACAATTAAGAATTTTGTCAAAATATTTTTTAACATATATGTGTTATATAACTATAGTAAAGAATTTTTATTTATTTTTGTATATTAAAATAAATATGAACAAACAATTAAAACTTAATAAAAATTAAACGGATTGAATTATGATCTATATTTCAACTCAACCCCCACATTTAACATCTTTTAAAGCTATGGGGTGTCAAGAATGAACTCTAATATATGTAACCTGTCCAATTCGTCCAAAATTTTAAGGGTTGAGCTCAAGATAATTTGAATTGGATTCAATCTCAACCTATTTAAGCTTAACCCATTTAAAGAGAATTCTCAATTGAGCTCAATTCAATCTCCAATTTCAATCCGTTTGAAAACTTTTTATTAAGGTATATTTTTATATTGAAGGTATGAATTATTATCTATTTGACATCTTTTAGGATTTATCTATCAATTTGTTACTTTTTTAACAAAAAATTCTTGAGCGGAAATTCAAATTGTGATTATAAAAGTTAATTATCAATATGTTAAATTATTGAAAATAACAAAGAAATGCATTAATAATTAAGCGTAAAAAATATTGTTGAGCTCGCTAGGTTTTCCACTTCCTTTTTTTTTTTTTTGATGTTGATAAAATGTTATCAGTTCTCTCTTTTTATTTTGATCGATCCACTTATGTTCAAAATCATTTTATGTGCTTGAGTTTGCTTCTTTCCTTATTTAATTTTAATTATACTAGAAAAACTTTGTTAGGTGTTTTATTTTGTTACAATTTAGTCTTTGCATTGTTTAATTAGATGATGTCTTCAACCAAAGAAAGACACAACAAATTTTGATAGAAAAAGAAATGAAAAAAAAGAAAGAGATAGAAACGCAAGTGAAACCTCATTTTAATAGTCATTCGTTATAACTATATTTCATTATAACAACCTGATTTTCTCCGTAACCAATTTTTCATGTTATATTTCGCTTTAAATCTTTTACACAAGTGAAGTGTATGTTTAAACACAACCGCAACTTCCACTTCTTCTTTTTTTTTTTTGCACCAAAAGCTAAAATACTAGTATTTTTTTTTCTACTTAAACCAAGTATCTAAACATCTATTCCACTAATCATCATAATCTCTCTTTGAATCATTGTCAAAGGGCTTAAGTAAACCATATGTGAGAGCCATTGAAATCCACCCTCCAAGTAAAACTCTTATAGCAGATATTTTCACTGATGAACCACCAAGATGAGCTCCAATTCCACCAAATAAACACAGAGCTAATGATGCTACAAGCACCATCAAAAAAATCCTGATTCTGTTGTCACTCACTAATAGAGCTGGCATCATAGGAACAAAGGCTCCAAAGAGAAAAGCCAGAGACGACGCTGCAGCAGCCTTCAATGGACTAGGCAGTGGCTCTAACTTTATGTCATTGTCCAGTTTTGATTCCTCCATCATGGTTCTTCTTGCATCCATTTCCATAACTTTTGTAAGTGGAGATCTTGCAGGTGTGAAAGAGTTGGACTGTATATGTACAGGTGATTCATATAGAAGTTTTCCGCCTTGTGTTGAAGTGGCTAATATACTGTGAAAGGCCATGTCATGAGGGACTTCACCTTGCTTGGTTTCTGCAGTGTTAGTTGGACTGCTTCCTTTTAACTCGTAAGCAATGGACTTTGCAATGTCTCGTTGAGTTGAAACAGAGACAAACTCTCCGACAGCCATGCTACAGGCACCTGCAAGAGCTCCAGCTATTCCAGAAAGTACCATAGACTGTTGATCTTGATCTTTAGCTGCACCCACACCAAGCATCAAGGACGTGGTGGAAAGCAATCCATCGTTTGCTCCAAGGATAGCTGCTCGAAGCCACTGAGCTCGGGCTAGTTTCTCTAAAGTTTTCTCTTCCTGGGCAGTTGCATGAGAATCTTTCTTAGCACAGGCCTCAGTTGATTTGGGAGAATCCATCATTCAATGAATGGGAGTGTGGCTTTTAGCCATAGGCACGCTTGTACGCGTGGAAGTAATATGTAGGAACCCCAGTTCATAAATAATGAATATTGCTATCTAAGAATCGTCTTACTTAGGTGGCACCGTGGGAAAAAAACAAGCTGACACGCTAAAACCGAGAAGAACAAACATAAGCTCATATGTGTTTCTTCTGAATGTCTTTACTTATGGCAAGAATACTTATGCCAAGAAGGAGACATCATACTATACAGACAACAACCAACTGCAAATGAAAAGTAAGTTTCTATTGTTTGTTGCTCCAAATAGAGGAAATCTAGAGCATCACTTTGTCTCATTCTAACTAGCAGTTCATCTAAACCAAATTATAAAAAAAAAAAAATTCATTCAATCAACATCTTAACTCAATATGCAGAGAAGAGCTATGTATAGTGATGTACATAGGTTTTTCTCCAGTATGACGTCCTCAGCTAGCACCACATAGAAAAGCTATCTTAGCTTGAGTGGCTGCTTCACATAAACTAGCTTCTGATCTGATGAGGAACCTACTTATGCATATGAGCACATACTTTAGCACAAGCATTGGTGAGCTGTGTTCAACTTGGAAAATGTGCACTAGAAAATGTTTCTGATAGACTAATGGTTACACTAAGAGTCGTCCTGTCCTCTTCAAAAAATAGAACTCAACTCCTATAAACTTCATCTTTTCCGTATACCATAAAAGTGAGACCTTCATTACTCTGGCATTTACTTTTTAACCCCATTTATCATATCCAATATTAAAACCAGCTAATCCAAACATTGACTATAGGAAAAGGAAGAGGCTGACTGTAAGAAATTACTTTGCACATTCTCTGGAAAAAGTTAACACTTGAAACAGAGAGAAAGGAGAGATTAGCATGGAGAATTTAGTCCTGCTCGTTTATTTATCATTTTCCATTCTTATCACAAAACTACAGTTACAAGATTTGAAATCACAGCTCATACTGCTCACTACCGCCAGTTCCAAGAGCCAAATAGTTTGAGTGCAATCACTATGCATTTATATTTGAAATGCCCATGACATATTTCTATATTGAAGTTCCTTTCTGATTCGAAATGCCCATGACATATTTCTATATTAAAGTTCATTTCTGAGGGAAAAATACAATTGTCCTCCCTACAGGGACAAAAGTTGTGTTCACATGACTTCATATGATGTTGCTTCCCTATCTTTTCTCTTCTCTTGGAGAAATGGATGAACTTCACCGCCCCAGAGAGTTGAAAAGCTCAAAGGAAGTAGACTGCAAAATTCAGAGTTCTGTGTGATAGCACAACGAGGAAGGAGAGAGAATGTTGTGGAACGACTGAACATTTTTTTTTACTAGCTCGCGATCAGTTTTTCAAGAAATTCTCAGGCAGATACTACAAAAATGAGAAACAGTAAACTAAAGCAATATAAGCATACTTTAGAGATAGTCTTCAGATTAAGAACTATATCGATCCTATTTCAAAGAAATGAAATACAACATGTAGAATGTAGTATCAAACCATTCTGCAGATATCACTACTCAATTCCAAGAAACAAATGACTTGCTGGTTTCTTAGGTACAAACACTTGAAACCAAAAAGACATGTGAAGGCAAGCAGACAATACATGCTATGATGCTATTAGAGTGTGAACTTTTTTCGTTCACTTAATAAATAAGAGGAAGGAATAAGTGCTGATATACCATCAAAATGAGAGTAGACTGAACTTGTAAGTTATGCTATGTATTTAACTCACAGGACCTATTTGAATATTCTTTTGACTATTTATTACAACTTATTAGTAAATACGTTGTGAACCAAAGCCTCAAGCTCCTAAGTCTTGGTAGTGAGGGACAAGATAGAGAATTAGTGATTTACCAAGGTCGATATGTTAAGAGTTAAGAAGCAACACCAGATTGGTGGATAACTTACACAAGTTGTGCCAAAAGATCAGCAAGTAACTTGTCTAACCACAAATCGATAAACTATTTTTTCAAATGAGAGATGGAAATAGTCAAATCTGGTGATTAAAGACTTTTAGAATTGATAAAGCGGAATAACTGGTATTGAGAAGACAATTTTTACACTCATGCTGCTCTAGAAAGAACAAACCTCGAGAAAGTATTCATTTGCGATGATAGTATTTTAGGAAACAACCATCAACAACATCTGAAAAATGCATATAAGATGCTGCAGATATCACCTAAAGATTGCATATTAGATGTTACATATATCCATCCCTGCGGTCTTGTTCCTCAGCCTCCTTGTTAGCAACTTGTACTGATTTGAACCAAAGGAATGCCTGGATATATGTTCTAATCAGCTCAAATGAATATAGAAACATCAACTTTTCCTTTTTCTTTTTGCCAAAAGTAGTACTCCCCTGATTTTATTATTATTATTATTTTTAAATGGAGGGTCGGCCGAGGAGCCAACCCTGTTAGGTTCCACAAATTATGCCAGCCATACAGTACTCACCATGCAGGCAAGACTGGCATATTTAGCCAATTTGTTTGTCTAGTATTAACTTGGCACGGAATTCAAGAAAGTAAAAATATCTTTTGAATTTTGTAGTCTTAAACATATCATATAGAAAGTTAGAATTACCGAATTTCTAGAAAAGGAAAAACCTGTTCTTTCTTAAACGGACTAAAATGGAAATTAGAACAAACAAATTGAAACAAGGGAATATTTTTGAACCGAAATGTAACTAACAAAACAAAGATCTATTAAGGAACTTCTTCATTGGTTCCTCTTTCCAATTAATGAAATTGTTACCTTATAATTTAAATAACAGAAGTAGCTACCATTATCTTAAAATATGGAAATACAGGCAGTAAATCACCTACAAGTGGGTTGAAAACAGAACTTGCAAAAAGACCAAATTTGTATAGTCTTAAGCTCCCGTTTGGCCATAGATTTGAAGACGGAGGTAGAAACTCTTTGAAGTTGTTAGTTTTAGAACTTAAAGTTGTATTTGGCCATACATTTGATGTCTCGTGAGTGGAAGTCCCAAAAACTAAAAAAGCCCCTTTTGGGAACTTGAAAAGTATTTTGAGGATCATATTTTCAAAAACTAATCAAATTTCACGGCCAAACGGATATTCAAAATATAAATTACCAAAATTTAGTCCAAAATTTATGGTCAAACGCTAACTTAGTTTCATCATTCAAAACAATTCAACATAACGTAAACAGCAGAAAGACATGAACAGAGAAAAAAATAAATCAACTTACAGAAGTGGGAATGCCAGTGAACACAAAGAACCCAAGCAATGGAGCATAAAAAACACTATCTGAACCCAAAACTCCAAACACAGGTTTCTGATTCGTGTACTCGAAAATAGAACCAATCTGCACTCAAAAACCCAATCAAGAATCAATCTTTATAATGACCCCAAAAAACTTCTCCACTAGAAAATGAAATTCCTGATTTAAAAGAAAAAAACTCACCGCTGCAATTGCTGTGACAGCAGAAGCAAGCAAATAAACAACGAATGGAACTTGAATGCTTGAAGAATCTTTCTGTGCTTCATTTCTAGCCCATGGTGGAGGCTCATCCGTACCGGGTTTAGCCCATGTAGGAACTGATGGGTCTTCTTGTTTTTCCTCATCTTTTCCACTAGATTTGTTAACAGAACCTTCAGTAGCAGCAACAATTCCAAGGCTACGACTTGCAAGCGATTTTCCCCTTTTCTTGTAATAACTTAAGGAAGAGAATGTAATGAAATTGGGTATAGATGTTTTTGAGGAATGGATAATTGAAGAAGGGGAATTGCAGAGAGATGAAGAAGCTAATGCCACCATTTTTGTTGATGTTTTTTGCACTGTATATTTTCATGGTGGAATATGGCAATCAATTGTGAATAAGAGATAAAGAGGTTCACTCAAAAAAAAAATATCTCCTTTTTTTTTCTTTCGAAAACATTTACCAAAAAAAAATTAATATATCTTCAAATTATTATAAACTAAAAATTGTGCATTATTGCAAGACAATATTAATTTCTAAAATAAATGTTATAACCAAGTTTTATTTAATTCAATTCGCAATAAACTTTTTATCATTTGCCACTTTGCTTTAAATCTCACTTGTTACTTTCTGGATCGTCTTTTTCACTTTATATAAATACAAATGTATAAATTGTGTTGTGTTTGTATAAATCGAGAGAGAATCGTATATACAAATGCAAATATAATAACATCTCATTCTATACACTTATAAGTATACAATTCAAGTCTTCCAAGTCATTTTTTGTCTTTCTTTCTTTCTTGTTTTATACAAATACAAATTATACATTGTATAATTTGAATTTGTATAAACGAAAGAGAGAGGAATTTGATTATAAATACAAATATTTTAACTCGATTCAATCGTATAAACATTTATATTTTATGCAAATATACAAACACAATCATTGATACATATACATAGTAATTACATATGTACAATTATCTAACCAATATACATACATAGTTACCGTGATTTATATAAATCAGATAATTCATGAAGCACATCTAATAAAAATGTAGTTATAGAGCAATAATATAATTTTTATCTATTATTCCTAAAATTTGCTTCTTCTTTTTTTATTATTTTTATACAAATAAATTTGATTTACAGACTTCTCAAGTGTGGAAAGTCTATGACTTGGCATTTCCTAACCGGCCCATTCTTCGATGAGCCCATACTAATTTAATTGTCCACAGGCCTTGTAATTGCTAAACAACATCTACTATAATTATGGCTCTTTAATAAGAAAAAATAATAAATCTACTTGTAATGATAATTTGAGACCTAATTATCAAACACAAGTTTGAATACTTTCGAAATTGTGGTGAGAATTTTCAAAAACTTGTCCTGTATCAGTGATATAATTCACTCTGTATATCAGTGATACAACAATAGATAAGTGATACAACAAATTATTATGTCACACTACTGCAAGAGACCATCAACCATAAGCTAATTAGATTATTAATCTACATGTATGATGAGTTTATAATGACATAAACTATCCCACTACTTGCATCATGGTAATTAGATTTATAACATTTAAATATTTTATGATACCATATCTCGGAGTCTCAATACTTTATGTCATATCGTTTATGAAACATGAACTCTTTATATGATCTTGGATAATTCTCCTCTCATGAATCTGACTTTTGGATTGGGTCGGACTCAAGGTTCATTTGGCATAGCATCAAAGTTAGACCCTCATATTAAGCCCCTGAATAGATTGTTCACGTCATGGAAAATGTCAGGGCGTGCAAGGCTGAGAACTGAAATCCTATATCGGATATGGATGTATTCTTTAAACTTTCAAGTAATTATCCTTTCTTATGCTAACTGAAATCCATTTCTTTATACGATAATCAAAAATTATAATTATCTCAATTTATTATTTTCAATGTCAGACCCTTAAATTTTATATTGTCTATAATCTAAATGTCCATAAAGCTATAAGTGAACATTCTTTAGTAACGGACACAAATAAAAGTGTAATAATAATGATTCATATTAAGAGAACAAAATCATGGTATTGAGTAAAAATGATTAAGAAAGGAAGATAAGTAAAGTGATGATGGGAAATGGAGTCCAATTATGAAGACCCCATGGAGTTTCTTTGGGTAAATTATGTAACTAACAATTATTTATTTATATTAGTTTAATTGTTAATGGATTACATCTTGTCATTTATAATTATTATTACAATTATAAATTTATACTATTTATTTCTATCAATTGACTGTATTTACAAGAATGAAAAATAGGAGCTTGCACCGAAAAGCATGTACTCTAGTCAATTCTATACTTGATGCTATTACCACTAAGCAACAACCATAATTGTTTTTTTTAATAAAATATATATATATATATATATATATATATATAAAGAAATATATCCTAATATTTTTGAAGTAAAAAAATAAAAAGAAATTAAATGGTTGGAGGTGGACGAATTGATTTTGTAGGTTGTTTATAATTTATGTTTTTACTGTATGATTTTCTTTTATAAGAGAGTTTCAGTTTTATACGTTTATTTTTTTTTCTATTCAATCTATAAATAGCTAAGAAATCTCATTTCCTCCGTAGTAATGGTCTAATATTTCTTTATTATAGATTGACATATATCAATTATTCACTAATATTTGGATGCATGTATATATACTTCCGATATATGTGACAATCTCAATAAAATAATTTTCTATCGTTTAATTTAATTTTTGAGACACAACAATGAGAAAAAAACAAGCCATCATTGAATCTAGACAATTAAAGTACCTACCATGTTAAGTAAGTACTCCATAAAAACCACTCAATAGTTCTTAATCTTCTAAGATATTAGAGTCCCACTTAAATCTTAATTGTAATTATTAATACCAAAGTAGCACTTATCTACTTATCCTTTGAAGCAAACATCCACTATGTTAAAGGTGTATATATACATGTGCTAATCATTATTAATTAAATGACCGTTAATTCGTTGAATTATTGGATCTAGGGTATGTTTGATATGAAAGGAAAATGTTTTCGTGAAAAACAAATAGATTTTGGACATATTTTTTCTTGTTTGGTTGGTGAATAGAAAATACTTTTAAAAAATGATTTTTAGTTTTTAATTTATGAATGAAAAATGTTTTTTTTCTTTTATTTGTGCTAGAGTAGAAAATAATTTTTGAAATTGAAAATATTTTTTAAAACAAAATTAATTTTTTTGGGGGTGGGGGTGAAAAAAATAATAATCTAAAGTTGAAAATATTTTTGAAAAACAAAATTAATTATTTTCGGGGTGTGGTGTGGGGGTGGTAGGGGGGCTTTCTGGGGTATGAAAAAAATAAAAATTTGAAGTTGAAAATATTTTTTTAAAATAAATTTAAAATTTATTTCAGGTGGGGGGGGGGGGGGGGGTCAAAGTCAGGGATGAGAAAGTTGAATTGAAAATATTTTTTAAAAACAAATTTAAAAATGTTTTTTGGGGGTGGGGGGCTTGGTAAGGGGTGGGCGGGCGGGTCGAGGGTAGAAGGGTGAAAAACATGAATTTTTGAAGTTGAAAATATTTTTTTAAAAAAAACTTCAATTTTTATTATTTTTTATTTTTTTGGGGTGGATGGGGGGAAGGTGTCCGGCTGGTCCGGGGCTGGGTCGGGGATCGTAGTGAATAAACAAATGTTTGTATATTGAAAGTATATTTAAAAAATACACTTAAATTTTTTATGGGGTGGGGGGAGTGGAGAGGGAGGTAGGGGTGAATGAGGTAAAAAATAAAAAATTGAATTTGAAAATATTTCTCTAAGAAAAAATTAATTTTTTTTGGAGGGCGGTAGGGGGCTGATCGGGGGTGGGGTGGGTGAAAAAATAAAAAAAACTTGAAATTGAAAATATCTTCTAAAAATTGATGTTTTTTTTTAAAAAAAATAAAATAATGTCATTTGAAGTTGGATGAAAGTTTTGGAAAATGTTTTTTTCATAATTTTTGAAGAGAAGTCATTTTCCTTAATTTTGAGGAAAATTAATTGATTTTTGAAAAATATTTTCCAAAATTTTTATCCTAACCAAACACGAATAAAATTAAAAAATATTTTCTTTCATACCAAATACACCATTAATGTAAAATAAAATAATCAGACTAGCTAGACCGTCTCTTGTTCCCAAGTCATCGATCTTTCCACGAGGTGATCAAATTTGGTGCGTTGTGGTGTATACTCATATTTTATTCTTTATCTTATTAAGACAAAAAAAAAAGAAGCTATTTTCAAAAAACTTTTATCTTAAGTAAAATAATTTTAATCAAGTATAAAAAGAAAATACATTCATAAATAAACTATGTTAATAATAATAATAATAGAGAAATGAACAATAGCAACAATAGAAAATATAATATATAATTAAAGCAAAGAAAACAAGAGGTGGTAACATAGAATTGTTGAACAAGATAATAGGATAGTAACAATACTAATAGTAAGAAAATTTAGACATCACTTTACTACTTACTGAACTTCGGTCCAATTCTCCAACCTTCATACGATTTATTGTTTAGAGTCATGTTCTCTGTACGTAGGTGTGGTTGATGTCATGTGTAGTCTAATCACCTCTTAAACTCTCATTGATACTTCTTCGATCAACCTCTAGGCTCTACTTCTCCCATATTCACCATAAATAATCTATCACACCTTCGCACGAGGAATCAAAGAATCTCCTTTACCCATGTCCGAATTGAATCACATTGGTCTCGCTTTCCCGTCTTGTTCATCGCAGAAATTACTCTCACCTTTTTTTGAGTATACTCGTTTGATCATATCTCTCGAATAGTATATCCACACATCCAACTCAACATATTTGATAACTCAACATATTTGATTTAAACAACATTTCATAAAAACTTATCATTTATTGTGGTGACACATTAATTCCTATCACATAATATACCAAATGTTACCCTTCATTTGTTTCACCTCACTCTATTATACCGTGTAATAGTATCACGAATCTCACATCACATATACTTAGATGTTGAATTAAATATTCGAAACTTCCTTTCTTAAAAATATCTCACGAACATATATCAACCCTCACTCGTAAACGGTATTAGGATATGAGGAAGAATAGTTAAAAAAGGCATTATTATTCTATAATTATATAAAACATATAAATACAAGTAATTGAAACTACTATATCAAAATATTTCTTCAAATCTTACATATGGACAACTAATTAAGTTAGATTATCATGATATTGATTGTATTGAATTAATGTAACGTCCATATCATATTGTGCATGTTAATTAGGCAAAGAGTTACTTACACGCCATATTTATCATCTCTAAAGTTTTCATAATTATTTTATAATGAGTCCATAGATAATATTTTTTTTCTTTACGTA